GCTGCCCCAAAACAAATGAGCTGAATTTGGGGTCCCTGAAATCCCAGCACTGGAAGGGCAGAGACAGGAGGGTCCTCGGCTTGCTGATCAGCCAGCCTGGCCAATGGGTGAGCTCTAGGATCAGTGAGAGTCACACATACTAAACCATACATATACAACACACACACACACACACACACACACACACACACACACACACACACACACTGTATCCCACTGAATATAAACAAAACACAAACAACAGTGGCCCATAAACAAATCACAAACACATGCCAAGGGCTTGCAGCAAGATTTTGTCTATAATCTGAGCCAGGGCGAGGTACAGGTGAATTTCTGTCTTCCCCACCTTAATGCCTAGGGAGCCAGCCAGGGTTCCTGTGCCTGCAGGTGTTTTGCTTTATGGCAGGTGGGGTGTGAGGAACATAAAGCCACCTGACTCTCAGCTATCCATCAAATGTTCTCCGTCTCTTCCACCCACCCCTGTCCGGGTCTGGATGTCCTCCCAGGATACTGCTTTTATTTGTCTTGCCCAGCTGGCCCCATCAGTTTCGCCTTCCCTGGCTGACCACCTCTGCCTCTGGGACTCAAGAACACCTGTTCCTCCCTACCCCTCCCCCCCAAGTCCCAGCCCTTCCTACTTCCTGTTCCTGTGTGGTTGGCTGAATTTTTTAGTCACTTAGGACACAGGTGGAAACTTTTAGGGCTTTTATGATTCCCCTCCTCCATCCCTGCTTCTCCCAGTGCAATTTAGTGAGAACCGGAAGTAGGAGGGCAGGGTTGGCCATCTGCTTCAGGCAACCTGGTCAGGGAAACCAGGGAGGGAAAACCTGGCTAAGGCTATCTGTACAAGGCAAATGCTTGCTTCTCTCCTGGCCTCAGTTTACTCATTAGCGCCAGTGCCCCGGGAGTCTTGCAGAGTGACTAGGAGTCTGGCATGAGGTCATTCATGGGCAGGAAAGCATTTCTGGTTAAGACCGGTGCTTATCTCTTATTATTTAGCCCGAAGCCTTCGCGGAGTTTTTAGAGCCTTTTATGGAAAGTCTGGAGGAGGTGTGATCCAAGCAGAAACTATCTCTGTTTGTGTTGCTGGGGTGGTTCCCACCTGGGGGAGGTGAAGGAAAGCACCTCCTAGGAAACAGGAGATGCCTCATGTACCCTGAATTCATGCGTCAGCCACAAACCTACTATGTGCAAGCCCCATGCTGAGTACTGAACTTTCTTTTGCTTTTCTTTTTTTGTTGTTGTGTTTTTTGTTTATTTTTCCGAGACAGGGTTTCTCTGTGTCTTTGGAGCCTGCCCTGGAACTAGTTCTTGTAGACCAGGCTGGTCTCAAACTCACACAGATCTGCCTTCCTCTGCCTCCCGAGTGCTGGGGGCACAGGC